GATTTTCGCTATAGGGCGCATGCGCTCGCCAGACAGACAGAGAGAGACATAGAGACAGAAAGCGAGAAATCACCCCCCAAGGGGGATGGTCACGCTACAATCCCTTCTCCTCCATTCTCCTCTCGGGATCTTGGGCACGCACATACATGTGCCTGGCGTGAGTTTAAGCCACTGGGTCTGGGACGCGAACCGCGGTCGACTACGTGGGAGTCCAGCGACATAGCCATTACGCTAACTGCTGGTTCCCTAGGCCATATTCTTTGGGTGAAAAACTAAATGTTCTAAAATTTTCTAGCTTGTGTGTAGATTTAGTGTGATTCTAGTGGGAACAATTTTGTGAAACTAAAATAATTTTAGCATTCATTTAGAAAAACTAATACGTGAGGGCCAGCAGGTAGTATAGTGGGTACAGCACTGGACTTCCACATGGTCAGCCATAGTTTGAGTCCTAGACCTGGTGTCTTGAAACTCATGCCAGGCTTGTGTACGTGTGTGCCCAGAATCCTAACAGGAGAAGGGATCGCGGTGTGGCCATCCCCCCTGAGCAGTGATCTCTCACTTTCTATCTCTTTCTGTCTCTCTGGTGAGCACATGCACCCTGTAGCAAAAATTCCTCAGAAAAGAAAAAGAAAACCTAATGTGCAAGACTTTTAGTGAGCTTGGGGACCAGCAGGTGGCGTGGCGGTTAAGGTGCTGGACACTCCCACATGGCTGACCACGGTTTGAGTCCTGGATCTGGTGGCTTGCTTTCTCACTTTCCCTCTCTCTCTTTCTCTGTGTCTCTCTGGTCAAATTAAATGAATGAATAAGTAAAGTTGAATAAAATAATTATTAAAAAAAAAAAGACTTTTAGCAAGCTTGCAGAGCTAAGCGGGGATTGGGGGGAGGTTGCTGGCTGCACCGGGAGGTCTAGAACACACCGCGAGGTCACTTCCTCTCGCACTGAAGCGCTGCAGTATGTGGTGGGCGCAGTATGTGGAATGTGGTGTGCTGAAAACACGTGCTGATGGACAGTCAGAGTCCTGCATCCTCGGGGAGACATACTCAGCTGAGTAGAGGTGTTACTTTTTCTTAAGTAGATCTAGAGTTTTCACACGATTATCATCAAAACCCCAGCTAGATTCTTTGAAGAAACAGACAAGCTGATTCTAAAATTTAAATGGAAAGGTAAAGGAAATCAAATAGCCAAAGCAGTTAAAAAGGTCTAAAGCAGGCAGAATCCCGCTACGGGGTTTAAGACTTCCTGTGTTGTGTCGGGGATGAAGACAGCCTGATGCTGGCAGAGCGAGAGACTCGGCGACCCAGGGAGCAGACCAGACGGGCCAGACGGGGACTCTCAGTAGACCTCCAACCGGTGATGCTGGAGCGATGGGACATTGATAGGCCAAGAAATGAACTCTGGCCTAAAGGTATACGAAAGTGAATTCGAAGTGGATCATGGATCTAAAGGGAACTAAAGGTTTTAGAAGATGCACAAGAAAATCTTTACGACCTAGGGTATCCTTAGACCATAGGGTTTCTTAGACATGAAACTAAAAGCATATGTAAAACCAAAAACCAATAAATTACAAGATGTGAATCCCTACATGGTCAGCCAGAAACATGCAGGCACGTGTGTGGGTACCCAGGGTCTCATGAGCTGGAGAGCTGGAGAAGGGACTGTGGACTGACTGGAGGCTTGGATTCTATCTCGCCTTCTCACTGTCACATGCATGTATGCGTGCTCTGTCATGAATAAAGAAAAAGACATTTTAGGAGAAATCAGTAAGTTAGACTTCTTTACATTTACACTTTTGGGGGTTGGCAGGTGGCATGGTGGTTAAGAGTGCTGGACTCCCACATGGCTGACTATGGTTTGAGTCCCAGACCTGCTGGCTTGCTTTCTCACTTTCCCTCTTTCTCTCTCTCTCTCTCACTCACTCACTCTGTCCCTCTCTAGTCAAATATAAATAAATAAAGTTAAATAAAATAACTCTTCAAAAAAATTAAAATTAAAACAAATTTTTTTTGACTTCCACTTCTGGAATGGTGATTTGAGGAGCTCCATAGATCCGCTCCCCAGAAATAACCATAATTGGTGAAAATTATGAGAAAAAGTCTTTGGAAGTCGTCCTAGGGCATATAACAAAGAAACATTTATGTAAGGAAGTGTGAGGGGACCAGCAGTTAATGTTATGGCTATGTCACTGGACTCCCATGTAGTCGACCGCAATTGGAGTCCCAGACCTGGTGGCTTAAATTCACGCCAGGTGCATGTGCGTGCGCGCCCAAGATCCCGGGAGGAGAAGGGATTGCAGTGTGGCCATCCCCCCTGGGGGGTGATCTCTCGCTTTCTGTCTCTGTCTCCCTCTGTCTGGCGAGCGCACGTGCCCTATAGCAAAAACCTCTCTCTCAAAAAAAAAACAAAGGTACTTTCTGTTTTGCAGCACGGGCTATGTTTTTTTTAATTGCAAAGAATGTGTGCGTTCACCAGAGACACAAAAGGAGAGAAGGAAATCTTTCCCCAGTGGGTTTGGTCACGCCACAAGCCCTTCTCCTCCATTTCCCCACCCTGTTGGAATCTCAGGCATGCTGGCACCTGCTGATGGAGTGTTCCCCTGGCCACTGCGGCCAGGACCTACAGTACTAGCAGCCATGTTTGATCCACCCCCCTGTGGGCCTCCAGAAATGGCCCACGGCACTGATATTCATATAGGTGAATATATATATATATTTAATTTATTACAAGGTGTTCCCCAGAGAGAGGGGGAGAGAAAGCACCCCCTAAGGAGGGCGGCCATGCTGCAGTCCCTTCTCCATTCTCTCAGGGTTTGGGGCGCACATGCCTGCATGTTTTCCAAGCCACCAGGTTTGGGACTCAACCATGTAGCAGCCATGTGGGATCCAGCCGCCTTACCCACGATGCCACTGGCTGGCCCCATATATTCTTTTAAAGGTTCTTTTTTGTTTTTCTTTTTTCGTGGTAGAACTTACACATGCACACATGAGTGAGAGGAAGAGGGAAGAAGAGACAGGAGCTTGCTCTCCAGGATCTGGGCCATGGTCCCCTGCTAGCCTGCTGGACCTGGAACTCATGCATGCCCGCCACCTTGCGGCTGACCAGGCTGGAGGGTCAAACCAGTCACGTGGGACCCAGCTTCTCCTGTGTGTGTTACCACTGCTCCAAGGAGCCAGAATTAGGTGTTCTTTCTCTCACTCTCTCTTGTATTTTTTATTAAGAGAGAGATTTTGCTATAGGGTGCGTGTGCTCGCCAGAGAGACAGAAAGAGCGAAAGCACCCCTCCACCCCCGTGGGGGATGAGCACGCTGCAATCGTTCATTCTTCTTTCAGGATTTTGGGCATGCAACATACACACGTGCCCGGTGTGGAGTTATTTTATTATTATTATTTTTAATAAATTTATTCATTCATTTATTTTAATTTGAACAGAAAGACAGAGAGAAAAAGGAAGTGAGAAAGCAAGCCACTAGGTCCAGGACTCGAACTGTGGTCAGCCATGTGGGAGTGCCCAGCGCCTTAACTACCACGCCACCTGCTGGTCCTCCGGTGTGAGTTTTAAGCAGCCAGGTCTGGGACTCGAACTGCGGTTGACTACGTGGGAGCCCAGCAATGTAGCCATTGCACCATCTACTGGTCCCAACGCCGTATGTTCTTTATACTACAGTATCTTTTGTCATTTTAAGAAATTCGAGTCCAAAGGGAAGTACGGTTTTGAGAGAGCTTGACGTAGCGCTGGCGTGCCACCCGCACGGTTGGAGAGCGCGGTACTCAGTAAGGAGCCGGCGACACATCTCACCAGCATCACCCACTTTGCTGTCCTCCCCAGAGTGGCCCGGTCAGACTCTTCGTACCTTACAAAAGGCGCAAGAAGGAGAATGAAATGCCCACGACTCCGGTCAAGAAGGACCCCCCCAAGAACATCACGCTGCTTCCAGCCACTGCCGCCACCACCTGTGAGTCTGATGCCCGGGGTCTCCTGCACCCCCGTTCCAGAGCCGACGCCGTCTGTGTCCCTCCCTTTCCTGACTGGGCCCCGTGAGCGGGGGTCCCGGGTTCAGCCCTGCCTTTCTTCCCCGACGTGGGCCGGCCCAGAGGGAACCGTCCGGTGTCCCGGGAGCCATGGTGCAAGCGCTTGGTCCGTGCTCGGCTGAGCACTCCTGACCCAGGTCTCCTCACGTCCACAGCAAGTGCTACTTCTTTTTCCTTTTTTTCCTTTATTTTTATAATTTTTTTTTAAAAAAGGTCTTAGCCATAGGGTGTATGTGCTTACCAAAGAGAGACAGAGAGGGAAGTGAGAGATCTCCCGTCGGGGAGGGCCGGCCGTGCTGCAGTCCCTTCTCCACTCTCCCCCGGGATCTTGGGCACGCGTGGGTTTCAGGTCACCGGGCCCGGGACTCGGCCTGCCACCGGCCATGTAGGACACCGGCACCTTCACCACCATGCCCTCTGCCGGCCCTCTTTATTTTCTCAGTTGCTAGGGGGTATGTGTACTCGCCAGAGAGACGAGAGACAGAGAGGAAGTATTTTCTTGGGGGCAGTCATGCCACAATCCCTTCTCCATTTCTCCATCCTGTGGGGACTCGGGGCATGCCTCGCATGTGCCTGGCATGTTTCAAGCCACTGGGTCAGGGATTCAAAGCACGGTCAGCCAAGTGGAATTCCACTCCCTTTACCACCAGGGCAGGGGGCTGGGCAGGGGGCTGGCCCGGCAAGTGCCTCTTGGTGAAACGGACGCAGCCTGTGAGAGCCCATGTGCCTGGGAGGCCTGCTCCCTCCCTGGCATCCAGACAGGTCATCCCTGGGCACCGTCCTAGCCGACTGTCCCTGCACTGTCAGCAGCCGGCAGGGTGCGGTCCTGCTCTCGTAAAGCTGCCGTGTGGTCTAGGAAAGGGGAATTAAGGGAGTGGAGAAGACGCTGCTTGTTTTTTCATTGTCAGAGACAGGAAGAGACAGCACACCCCAAAGTGGTGTGGTCCCGCTTATTTCTTCTTCCATTTCTGCATCCCGTCCAGCTGTGGGCTACAAACACGTGTGCCTCCAGCATGTCTCTCAGACTGCCAGGGGCTGGATTTGAACAGCAGTCAGCCATGTGGGACCCGGTCTCCATACACAAGGCTAGACTCCTGCACTAAAGGCAACCAAACTGCCTTTTTAAAAAATTTGTTGGGACCAGCAGTTGGCATAACGGCTATGTCGCTGGACTCCCATGTAGTTGACTACGGTTCGTGTCCTGGACCCGGTGGCTTAAATTCATGCCAGGCACGTGTGCGTGCGTGTCCAAGATCCCGAGAGGAGAAGGGAGGAGAAGGGATTGGGGCATGACCATCCCCCCTGGGGGGTGAAACTTTTGTTTTCATTTTTAAAAACCTGTTCATTTATTTCTTCCATGAGAGAGAGGCAGGTACTTCCAGCAGGGCCCCCACACTCGTCCAGCCCAGGCTCAGCGGGTCCAGATTTCAGATACGCATGGGCTTGCCTTGCTCAGGGAGACCCGGGCGGGAACCCAGGCCTTGTTGTATGGGCCCAATTGCAGCACCACTGTGCCACCCCTGGCCTTCAGACTACAGAAAGCTTTAAAAGCTGTTTTAGATTTTGCTTTATTTTTGTTCTCTGGCCAGGTACTGTCGTTAAAGTAGTGGCCAGTGCATGTTGTCTGCTGCCCTGCCCCCGGCCTGGTTTTCTGCGCAGGTGCACAGAAGTCACTGGTGGGGGTGGGTGTACTATGTCCGTGCTTCGGCTCCTGAGGTCCCCTGAAGCCTGTGCCCCACGAGGGGGCTGCTGTGCGGCCAGCACGGGCCTGGGTTTTATGCCCCCCGGCTCTGCTGAGCATCGACTGTGCCCCTGCCTTTCCAGTCACCGTGACCCCCTCAGGACAGATCACTACCTCTGGCGCTCTGACCTTCGACCGGGCATCCACTGTGGAGGCTACCGCTGTCATATCAGAGAGTCCGGCCCAGGGCGACGTCTTTGCTGGAGCGACAGGTCAGTCCCGGCACCTGCCTGACCACCTTGCCTCGTCGCTGCTGGGCTGTCCTGCAGAGAAGGCCTTGAGTCGCGACGAGTCTGGGCTCGGGAATGGACAGGGAGCAGCGTGGGCCGCAGAGTGTGCGTCTCAGCAGGTGGGGTGGGGGTTGCTCATTGGTGGCCGAGACCCCGTGAGTAGCAAAGCCGAGGCCTCCCACTTGCCGACTCCGGCCTTAGACCAGGACTGCCTGATGAAGACGTAACCCGAGCCCCATCGCAGTCGTAGCTAGTCCAGCAGCCATGCGAGGCACGCACGTGAGAGGTGAAACCCGTTTCCGGGATGTATTTTACCTCACCTGCCTGTCCAAGTCCTGTGTGCCGATCTAGACTCGCCACGCTGAGGGTACAGTAGCCGTGTGTGCCCGAAGCCCTACAGCGCACGGCACTGCTTTTCAGGGCCCATCTGAGGTCTGCTGTGCCGGCAGTGGCTCCACGGCCCCTTACCCTTCCTCTCACCAACAGTGCAAGAGGCCGGCATGCAGCCCCCGTGCAGGGTGGGCCACCCCGAGCCACACTACCCTGGTTATCAGGACAGCTGCCAGATCACACCCTTTCCAGAAGCGGCGTTGCCAACATCACACCCCAAAATAGGTGAGTGTGAAAGAGTTCATGCACGCGCAGGCTCCTGTCCTCCCAGCTGCTTCTCATGAAAGGGCTTCCGAGTGAAATGGGGCTCGTTTGGCTTGTTCCTCTTGATGTTCTGGGTCAGGATCTGGCCGACCTTGGCCACCGCCTGTGTTTGTAAATAAAGTTTTACTCGAACACAGCCATGCCCATTCATCTGTGCATGTGGAAGGCCACTAGGGCAGAAGCTCCCAGAGACCCAGTGGCCCACAAAGCCGAAAGCAGGTAGGTAGGTACTGTCAGGCCTTCCAAGAGGAAGTGTGTGTGCGTGCCTCCCTGAGCTGCCCTCCGCAGAGCACACAGAGCAGGCCGTGTCTGCCGCGAGCGTGGAAGGCCCATCGGTTGCATCACACTGCACGTGTGTTCTGACTGGTTCTTCATTTTACAACACCTTTGGACACATTTCTGTGTCATTACGCTGTCTTCTTAATCATCATCATTCCTTTTTCTAAGAATGATTTTATTTAACTTCATTTATTATTATTATTTTAATATTTCCAGAGAGAGACACACCAGAGTGAGAGAGAGGGAAAATGAGAAAACAAACCTCTAAGTCCGGGACTCAAACCATAGTTGGCCATGTCTAGCGCCTTAACCACCACACCACTTGCCAGCCACAATTATCATGACTTTTAAATTGTTTATAGGGCATGTGTATTTGTCTAGGAGAGAGAAGAAAAGTGAGAAATCTCTCCCCAGGGGAATGGCCACATTGCAGTCCCTTCTCTACCATTCTCTTGGGATTTGGGGCACGCACACACACACACACACACACACCTGCCCAGTTGTGTTTTTAAGCCGCTGGGTCCAGGAATCAAACCACACAGTTGTCCAGGTGGGATCCAGCTACCTTGTCTAACTGCTGCCTAGCTGGGCTTACACTGGCTTTTCTTTTCAATTTTATTTATTTCTTCTATGAGAAAGACAAACAGAGAGACAGGCACTCTCCACAGGGTCCTCACGCACAACCCACTTCTCATCTCACCCAGCCTGGGTCATGGGCACAATGTAACCTGGCATGCACAAGGAGACCCTGGGATTCAAACCCAGGACCTTCCCATGTGGGTCCAGCATCACGGAGCATTGCATACCACTGCACCAGTACAGCTACTGCTGGCTCCATTGCACTTTCTTCTCTTGTTTTTTTAAAAGAATTATTTTATTGGGAACCAGCAGTTAGCATAATGGCTATGTTGCTGGACTCCCACTTAGTCGACCACGGTTCGCGTCCCGGACCCGGTGGCTTAGAACTCACGCCAGGTGCGGGTGTGTGTGTGCCCAAGATCCCGAGAGGAGAATGGAGGAGAAGGGATTGAGGCGTGACCATCCCCCCTGGGAGGTGATTTCTCGCTTTCTGTCTCTGTCTCTCTCTGTCTGGCGAGTGCACGCGCCCTATAGCGAAAACCTCTCCAAAAAAAAAAAAAAAGAATTATTTTATTTAACTTTTAGGGTTTTTTAAAATTATTATTAGTAGTAGTATTGTTTTTGAATTGACCAGAGAGAGAGAGGAAAAGCGAGAAGGCCAGGCCACCAGGTCCAGGGCTTGAACCGTGGTTAGCCATGTGGGAGTCTCATGCCGCTAACCACCACACCACCTGCCGGCCCCCCAGTACACTGTGTTAAAGGGGCGTTAATCAGTACGCTTGTTGTTGAACCTTCTGCTCGCGGACATTTGCACATTTCCTCTCTCTCACCCCATTCATAAGATTTTTTTCCCCTTAACATTTATTTATTTATTGTTTTTTTGTTTGTGACTTTCAAGCTGTTGGGTCTGGGACTTCAACTATACTTAGACATGTTATAGTCCAGTGCCTTAACCACCATGCCATCAGATTATTATTTTTTTTAGAGGTTTTCGCTATAGGACGTGTGTGCCACCAGACAGACAGAGAGACAGAGAGACAGAAAGCGAGAAATCACCCCCCGGGGGGATGGCCACGCCGCAATCCCTTCTCCTCCATTCTCCTCTCGGAATCTTGGGCACGCATGCACACACGCGCCTGGTGTGAGTTTAAGCCACTGGGTCTGGGCTGGGACTCGCGGTCGACTATGTGGGAGTCCAGCGACATAGCCATTACGCTAACTGCTGGTCCGATTTTTTTTTTTTTAAGAATTATTTTATTCAACTTTATTTATTTGTTTATTCATTTAATTTGACCAGAGAGAGAAAGAAAGGGAAAGTGAAAAAGCAAGCCAGCAGGTCCAGGACCTGAACCGTGGTTGACCATGTGGGAGTCCAGTGCCTTAACCACCCTGGCACCTGCAGATCCCTGTAAGATTTTTAAAAGCACTCACCTCACTTCCATTCACTTGTCTACCCCTCCTCTTCCCACTGGAGTGTCACGTAAGGTCTTCTGCCTCAGTCTGTTGCCGTGTTGCCCACAGAGATACCTGAGACCAAGGGCTTTATGAACAAAGTCGAGGTTTACCTGCAAACTCATGGTCCTGGTGGGCAGTCCAGCAGCATCACGTAACAGCAGGAGGCAGAGCTCGCAGCAGAGCCGGACCTGCTCCGTACCCCCGTGGGCTCTGCCTGCCTTGCCTCCTTGCCCTGTGTGCACCCCGGAGGTCGGTGGCTGGGGCCCCTGCCCTGATGACGTTACCACACCGGGGACACCGTGCACAATTAAGTTCTCGCTTAATCCTTTACAATAGAATCAAGCCCCAACACATGTACCCTTGGGGACATCTAACCACCATCCACCAAGGCCAAACTCCAAAACAGGACTCTTCGGGAACAAACCATTATTCAAACTGTAACCACCTCTTTCCCCCAAGCCCACCTGCCGCTCCAGCCTCACCCTGGGGCCTATGGGGAGCTCTGTGCTAGGCCTTGGGCCACGTTTACCTGTCCCTGTAAATCCTGCTGGGGGTGTGGGGGGGCTTGATGTTTCAGGCCCTTCTCTTGGTCACCAGCTGTGAAGTGCTTTTGTGTTCGATGACAGTGCATGCACGTGACAGAGAGAGAAGTGACCCTTCAACAGGGTTTTGTCGCACAGGGACCCCGCTCCAGCCCTCCCCTCTATGGGGCCCTGGGTGGCACGCACGCACCGGGCATGTTTTAGACTGACACGGGGATCCGAGCCAGCGGTCAGCCTCCTTCCAGTCCTGCAGGGCGTTGGCATCAGTGCTGGCCCCAACCTCATGAGGTATTTATTAACATATAAAAATTGTTTTGAGGGCCAGCAAATGGCATGGAGTTTCGGGCGGCTGATCCCACGTGGCCACTGTGTCCCTGTCACGGCCCTGGTAGACTCAGGCTTGCTGTCCTGCTAACGGCTCGTAGCTCTTTGAAGTCATTTGTTCTCGGACCGTCCCAGACCTGGCCGAGCAGCTCTGTAGACTGGCCACTGTGCTCTCTGACCCGCCATTATTCTGGGCACTTCTTAGTTTCTGCTACAGCCGGATGTCGGAGGCTCAGCTCCAATTTTCTGTTCCTCTAGGAGTTTGGCCCTTTGCCGAGGGCTAGGGCTGCCCGTGCTATGCATCTCCCGGTGTTTGTCCGGTGACCTCACGCTGGGAGTGACAGGAGGGTCTTGTGGAGCGGTGCCCGTCGGGGCTCTGTCCCTGCAGGCCGGAGGTGCTTGTGAGCGGCGCGGGCCTGGGTGCGACGTGTCTCGCGTCTGCCCTCGGCTGAGAAGTGGGGAGCCGTGTGTGCTCACACGGGCAGGCCTGTGCTCTCCATCTGGCTGTCTGTGCAGAAAGCCGCAGTCGCACTGGTGTCTCTAGGTCCAGTCCAAAACCACAGGGCTCCTTCCAGTCCCCTCCCTGCTCACGTTCGTAATTTGTCCCCCTGCACAATCCTCCCATCTGGATGCAGACGGCCAGGAAGGCTTTCCACTGGGGAGGCACAGAGCTGGGCCCCTTCTGTTCTTCGTCTGCTTCACTGCTGAAGGATTTCAGAGCCACGGCCCTGGCCCGGCCGTCGTCCTCAGGGCCGGTCCCGCGGTGTCTCGCGGCCTCTCTGCACGCAGTGGGAGCTCTGCTCGCAGCCTGTCTCCTGTGAACACCCAGTCTCAGATGTGGTCAGGCCTTCCTGGTGGAAGCCCAGCTGGTTCTCTCTGGTGTCGGCATGTGAACTTTCTTTCTTGCGGCCAGAGGGCACATGCCCACAGAGAGCGAGAGATAAAATGTCCCCCACGAGGGATGGGTGTGCCGCACCCTCTCCTCAGGACGGCGGGCACCCATGCCCAATGTGTTTTCGAGCCACTGGGCCAGGACTGA